TTTGTTTTGGCTCAAGCTCGGATGCGGCAGCTTCTAGCACCTCCACGTCTGGTGCCGCAATTACTTCAGAGTTTTGAGGTTTCGATTCAAGATGCGACGCTGCAGGTAACACCACCACTACCGGTAGTTTTGAAGTCACCGTCTCCATCACCGCTTGCTGTGTTTTCTTCAAAGGTGGAGACTCTTCCTCCTCAATCAATGATAGGTTTTCCGTCGACTCAGAATGAAGCTTTTCTACCGACACCACCGTTTGGGTCAGCTCGTTTACGTCTTCCTTTGTTGCCTCTAATGACTGTTTCGTTTCTATGGTCTCTTTCTCCGACGTAGCTTGTTGTGTTGTCTTCTTCCCTTGCTTCATCTTTGCCTGGATGTTTCTCCACCTCTCAATCCTTTCATCATACTGTGCTATCATCTTTTCGTACAGTGCCGTTATCTTATCGAACCCTGCCGTTATCTTATCAAACTCTCCCATCGAATCCTTCGGCTCTGATACCAAGTTGATACGAGCCAAAAGTTTTAAGCAAAACCTTCCCTTTGACCCAAGTCTCTTTCTAGAGAATTAGATTAATTGTTGGAGGTTGGTTTCTTATTAATCAATAGAGACCCTTTATATATAGGTCTTGATACAACTTAATCATAACCCTAATGCATAAGACTATCTACATTGGTTTTGATTTTACAACACCCAATTTTTTCTTTTTAATATTTCACATCATCTTCTCTCTCTTCCACATCATAATTCAACACCTATATAATTTTTACACTCTACAATAGTTTTGTTTAATAAAATTACAACACCTTATCCCACAATTTTTCTTACCACCTAGAATCATTTGTGTAGAAAATTCGGGAAATTCAGTTGCTCCAACACTTGTATTAGTTTCATTACCCATTGGAACAGAAGAATAAGAGGGTGCTTGAGATGAATACGACATCATCGATCCATGATATGGACGATAGTTTGGAACAGCTGACGGCATGAAGAAATTTGGTGGATATCCATAATTTGGTATATGCTGGGGATGGTTGGGAGATTGATTTTGAAACTGAAAATTGTTGAGATTTGGGTAGTTAAAAGGTAATTAGAAAAATTTTGAGAGCTAAAAGGGTTATTATTATGATCCATTTCAGTAAAACAATAAACAAGAGTTTATGAAGATTGATAACAAAAATATAGTAAAAAAATATGGTTTTTTTTTTATGTCTCCAAATGAAGTGAAACAAGTCTTTATTTATAGAGTATGAAAAAAGATGAATTTTGGTATAAAAAAATAATATAAAATTTAATATTTTATGAAATAATTGATCTCAAATAATTGGGTTGGATAAGAAATATCTAAATCTCAGTATCCAATAAAAACAGAACACGTGTCATTATCCATATATTATCATATAACTAAAAAATTTACCCACTCATTGATTGCCACGTGGCATTGTGAGGCCCATATTTTTTGGTTCAACACGATTGAAGAGATTCAACTCTGTTTACTCCACGTCAATTTTTTTTTTTATAACACACAATTGTAATTGATTCAGTAGTTAAATAAATATTTCAACTGTTTTTAAAAGCACCATTGTAAGTAGTCTAATAGAAAACACTTTAACATAAAAAAAAAGAAAACCAAATTCATAAATAAAACACCAAAACTAATTAATTAAAACGTCATAAGTGTGGCCTAACGCGTAGTCAGCGTATCATCCATTTGATACTGAGGAGATA